TCAAAGGTTTATTTCTCATCTCAATCATTGGTGAAAGTAGAATTAAACCTAACTATAGTTCGTAATTGTGTAGTCAAAAAAAATCATTTTCTATGTCAAAGGTTCATTTTTCATCTCAATTGTTCGTGAAAATAAATTTAAATCTAATTATAGTTCGTAGTTATATAAATGGATTGTATAGAGGAAACTATTTTCTATGTCAAAAGTTTATATTTCATATCAATCGTTCGTAAAAATAAATTAAAATCTGACTATAGTTCGTAGTTATGTAACTAGACTGTAAAGAAGAAATTGTTTTCTATGTCAAAAGTTTACTTTTCATGTCAGACGTTCGTAAAAGTATATTAAAATCTAACTATAGTTCGTAATTAAGTAGAAAAAGAATATTTTCTATCTCATAGGTTTATTTTTTATCTCAATCGTTCGTGAAAATAAATTTAAATATACCTATAGTTCGTAATTAAAAAGAGAAAAAAAACTATTTTCTATCTCAAAGGTTTATTTTTCATATCAAACGTTCGTAAAAGTAAATTTTAATGTAACTATAGTTCGTATTTGTATAACTAGATCGTAAAAAAAAATTATTTTTTAAATTAGCTAAAAAGCTTATTATTCATCGTAAATTTTCAAGACTACATATTAGAAAAGCTCAATAATGAATCTCTTCTCTACTCTGTTTAAATTGTGTATTTTTCATTACTAATAGTTGTAGAAACAGTTCTCTAATAAATATATTAAATCAGAAAGTTTAAAACATCATTAATTTTACTAAATGGATTATTAATGCTACCTTATACAACTGATTTCTTAATTCTAATATTGTGATCATTGATTTACCTAAACTATAATTCATATAACTCACCAATTTCAATTGATATAATTGTAGGTAAATGATTGCGACAATTTTAATGAATAATTATTTTTATAAAAAAAAAAGAGAAACGCGCCATTTGTCATATTGATTCATCATAATGAATCAGAAAATTCTTATTATATTTATAAATTCGACTTCATTGAAATTTAGAAAAAAAAAGAATTCAATTTATTTATATATATTTTAGTAGTAGAGAAAATAACAAATATGAAATGTGTGAGATAGATATGTTTTATTATTAGATATTGTAGAAAGAAATTTATAAATTTATGATTCATTAGTTAATAGAATTTTTTTATTTGTAATTGATACAGTATATATGATCAAAACATTGCAAAAAAACTATTTAATTTTTTTCCAAGATAAAATAGTATTATTACATTCAATATCTTTACATCGAATACTGTATGTATAGTCTTTTATATTGATCATGATAGCTACATTATTACGTTGATGATGACGATTTTTCTTTGGACAGTATTTATATTTTCCTGCTATATTAAAAAATAATAAATTTGTATTATAAGTACCACGAGCACATGAACATATGTAACCTTGATGAGATGGATCAGATGTAATGATATTTTCAACAAAATCGATAAATATTGACATATCTGGTACAGATAAATTTAGATTATTAATTTTATTAGGATGTAATGAACGTGATAAATTTTGATTGGTATTAATATTTGGATGCGAATGAGAAAAAGACGAATGCTTCATATGTTGATTAATTGGTTCAATATTTATAAAATTTTGTAGCTTTGTATTAGTTGAATTAGAAGAAGTCGATAAATCAAATACAAATTTTTCATTTTTAAAATAGATTTTTG